ACGCAATCTGTCCCTCCCTTTGACGAGCCGTCCTTTCCGGCTAACAATCAGCTGTATTTATTACACCCCAATTAATCCAGATGGACTGCGGGGCTGTTTGGCTTCTGGAGAAGTGAGAACAATTGTCATCGAGGCATTTTGAAATGTTTCGAGTCCCTATCACCGGCCTAGGGCAAAGCGGCTAGAAAGTAGCCCAAAATAAAGGTAAGATAAGGTCCAATACGAAGTCCAATGGCATTTTTTCATAGCGACAATGTAGTTTCACTGATCGTTCCATTCAATAGGCACTTCCTACACCGCTCATAACGCAACTAGGTAGAAACTAGAAAGTTATTTAACGGTTCGTACCGCAGTCACCCGTATCAAAACATGAAAATTAAATTTATCGGATGCATTGCAATCAGGAAGATATTGCAATGGTTGTAGTACACGACTCCTGATTGATAGATCCATTTGGTTTATATGGTAATATTATTGAGTTTACCGCCTGAGCGAGCACTGAATCTGACCGGTCCTCAGCGGTGTGCTCCGTGTCCTTGGACGGAACACGAATCGACCAGATAAGGATTACGGCTATTATTTTTGGCGTGATCGACAGATCACGACACACAGAGACGCGCCGAAGAACAAGACAACGGCGAGTTTAGTCTCAGACCGAAGACCGCAGCGATAAAAACGAGACGGAATCGCAGTCGGACCCGACTTTGGCGCAACACCTTGCAAAACGTGCGTGCTAAATCCTTCAACAAGCTACCTGATTAAATTTAATGAACGTGATAAATGGCCGTCATCAGAGCGCTGGCAGGTGCATCTGTTTTCATTTAGCCCCTACAGAGACACGAACAGGGCCCTGCGGAGCACGTGCAACACGGACACATGTTACGGGAGTGTCGCGCCGATTCGCTATCCGTTTCACGTGTAGCTACACCTGATACACGGACTGGGAGGGTGTCAAATGATATGTCACCGCTCGGTAGAGACAATACAGGCGGCCGACAGGTGATGAGATACATCCAGGGACGCTGTGACGTCATACAAGGTGAGGGGCTACTCAGTGACGTCACTCACAGTCGGCTCTGGCAGACTCTCACCCCATTTGCAGTCCACGCAAATCCTGCCGCTGCCACCAAAACTACTGACTGGTCACTAGCAATATGGACTCGACAGAAACACCGGCCTGTCGCTACAAAAATGAAATGGTCACAGAATATCGAATAACAGAATACAACAAAATATAAGCGGCCACAATGTAAAAATCAGTCTCCAGAGAAACTTAATGATGATCCAGGCTTCAATTTGAGAGACACAAATACCACAGGAGAATGCTGACCGCCAAAAATTGATCGCTGTCGTATTACAGCCGTGTAGAATGTGTCACTGCAAACAAAAACTAGCGGAGAGACGCGAACAGTCGTGCAGAATGTGACCAGTGGACAGTAACGGAATCCGACTGAGAGTGAGAGGAGGAAGACATGAACGAGGTGTCATGTCAGATCCCGGTTCCCTTCTAGAACAAATAAGCTCGTAGCTCCAGTGAAAACACGAAAAACAGGCTCAGGAGCCTCAACAACAACCGAAACAAGTCATGGTCAACCTGACAAGAACCAATTTCCTTCACCGTCACACGTTATATCATAGCCCAATGTCCCAACAAACTGCAATATTCGACCGCCCAGCATACCTTCGTCGGCTGCACGATCACTATCCTCCCATCTTCCTATCAGCAATCGGTGGCTGAAAAATAACCAAACAACCAACTCAGCGACAGACGACTGTGTGGACGAAGAAATGGAGAGAGGAGCGTCCGAGGAAGGGAGAGAGAGAGGGAGGGGAGAAACAGACACCTCCCCTCTCCCCACGCCTTGTGAGGGGAGAGCGAGGCTGGGGTATGGGGGCGACAGTCTGGAGGGGACGACGGCAGAAAACAACAGGACGCCGGCCAGAGGAGACGGGGAGGAGGCGTCGACACCGGCGACTGTCGGAAACGACAGGGGTCGCACGGCGCGCCGGTCATAGGGAGGGGAGGGGAGGGGAGGGGAGGGGCACAGCTGGTGGTTTCCGGGACGGGACAGCGACACGGCGCGCTGAGACGTCCGGCCGGCGGGTTGGTGAGGGGTCTGACATAAAGAAGGAAGCAGTATGTTACAGTATTTGGAGTGATAGAGTTGTTCCTTGCTCGGGGCGAAACGTCATCAGCAAAACAACCAGATACAAACGAAGTAAGTGAACGAGACGTCAGATGATCACCCCCTAGCCAAAGACCAAGTTCCTGAGGTCCATATCTCAACAGCATTGAGCTGCAAAAGTCCTTCATGGTACTTCCACCTAAAAAGGATGCAGCATGATTATTCCATCCCGCCGTACAATTTAATTTCCTCCTGAGGGACATCGCAGAGCCTTGCTCCGGAACCATCCGATGCCCTTGCAGCACAGACAAGTTTAACAACAGCGGGCTGGTAATAAATACGGCACTTCTGTCCAGTTAGCCCTATTACTAAATTACTAAAGTAAATTTCAGCTCGTCCGGCCCCACAGTTCCTCAGAAGCAGTACCACATTTCAATAAATCAGCCCCCAGTGACGGGTGCAATAGCCAGTCTGGAGCAACTCCTCAGTGGGGCAGTAAAGTCAGACATCTCAGACAGGCAGACAATTCAGACAGTCCAGTAGAATAGCAAATCAGACAGCCAGTCAGACAGTTCAGACAGCTAACTGGTGCTCGGTCAGACAGACATCGCTGGTACCGCGATCACGGACCGATATCATAAACGTCACGCTGATTAAATACGGCGGCGATGCAGACGTACACAAATTATCCCAGGAGTGAGAGCGCGACATTAATAACTTGAGATAAGTCAAGGAACACGTCCCGGTCATCTTATCGGTTTTACTGTATTGCATTTATTGCATTTTATTGAAGTCGATAGGTGAAGGGTAGATGATTTATATTCGATTGCATACAAGGTGATCTTGGTGCTTGGAGCTCATTTCACTAGAAGAAACTGCAAAAATATTCATCTAAAACTAAGTTAAAGCCATTAATACCACATATATATAAGATGATAGTTGTTTGCAATGTGAGTTGTGACTCGCGGCCCAATCTAGTCCAGCGAAATCCTCAGCTGGAAGCGGCATCTACAGATTACAATAAGGCAAAGCATCAAGGATAGATGTCGCCACATTACAGATCAGCACACAACCATTTCAAGGAACAAAATAATTAATTGTCATAGGGTGCTCCATTCAGGGTTAGAGGTGAAATGAGAATGAGATCAGAGATTGCAGTTGTCTCAAGCTCCTCATGGTCCAAAGTCCCAACTCCCATCCCCCAAACATAATCATAAAATGCCAGTTCTTGGAAAGGTCCTTGATATACAGCTTGATGTTCTGCACAACCCACAGGGGTATCAGGCTGCTAAAAAATGGCAAAATGGGAGGTGACTTTAAAAACCAAAATTCAGTCAAACAATTTAATTATTCTAGAATCTAGATCCCCTCAAGAGGGAGGGGGCAAGCCACCCTAGCCCCCCCCCCCCCCCCCTTTGGCTACACCCTGCTAGCCATTAGGGTTCTTTGCAGATGCTAGGGCATCATTCATTGGTTAGAATTAATTTTTCATTAGCAGGCTGCCAACTTCCTGACATTTGTTGGCTTTTCACTTGTTGAATTTACATGGTCTGTTCAGTTCATCAATGAAAAGCCAAGAAAGGCCAGTAAACACCCTTCAAACATGGGAAAACTGGCAGCATGCTGATAAAACTGAAAACATGACAGATTGCAGAACTCTGGTTCAATTTGAAATGGATTTCCAAGTTAGATGCTGCATTGTTGTCCCCTGGATATGTATTTGGAATGGCATGAGTGATGAGAGTTAAACAGAACATTTGCTCCTTGCACTGACAGATACAGCACAACCATTCACGCAACCAGCCTATTCATCACAAATCTGTTCCAGGCATTATATGATTATGGCATGTAGATACCTACTACATGGTTTCATAAATAATAAAAATGATGCTGAAAACACAAATATTTTAAGTGATACAAATGAATAGCAAAAGATTTCAAGCGTGCAGCTGCAACAAACAATTACATTGTAGTCGTTGAGCTCGCGCAGATTCAACACAAAATAGGCAGGAGTTTCAGCTTAGATTAAAACAATATCATGAGTCTGAGGATCTCAGCATACCTTATGAATTATTGAGTTGACACTTGATGTTTTATGGTCATGCAAACACCGACTTCGGTGGCATCAATGACTCAATATTGATAATCAACCTACTGATATGCCAATTATGCTTCAAATCAAAATATTAATTTCCTCATATAAATCGCACTTGTTACTAATCTTGCTATGAGTGTTATTCTACTTCTGTAGGCGAAATCAGTTACTTTATGCACAGAACTCTAAAAAAATGAGGCAAGAAGAGGTAGGTAGTTGGACTGATTTGAAAATAATAACAAAACAAAAGTAAACAAACAAAAACAATGCCAACACAACTAAGCGCCAGAAGTTGAGGCGTACATGCCGCACCTGCTACATTTCTTGACAAGTAGCCGCCGCTAAATAAAATATTTGTCATGAGCTGTAAATCAGAGGGACTAAAAAGTTAAATAAGTGCCAAGAGCTTGCTTTAAAAATCATCAATTATCTCATATATGCTTTGACTTTCAGCAGGTGTTATAGGAAGGGCTTCTTTGGGGCGTTTGGTGTCTATAACTTTTTCGGCTGTTTTAATTTTGCGGAGGGCTTTAGAAAAATCCTTTGCAATATTTTCTAACAGCACCCCTCGCACTCTTTCATGCCTGTTGCTCGATAATTAAACCTCATTTAATTATATGAAGCGTTATTTTAAACTCTGAATATAGGCATGCACCATATGATCAATCATTCTATCCTGGATTGTTTTAATTTGGTAGCGCTTTATTTTCTGGGCACTTCTGGATTCATCCGAATGCTGCTCGCTGATTGGTCCACGTCCATGTGACTGGTATACGCATGCGCAGTACGTTGTTTACTTCCGAGGTCAGGCGCACACGTGAAATTCCCGCTCTGTTTTCGGAGTAGTGTGGTGGAGTGGGGTGTCGCTGGTGGTGCTCTGATTGTGATCGTTTTCCAGAGATCCTGTCGGCTGGAAGTTTATTTATTTCATAGTCTGCCCCGTTGAGTGAGGTAAGATGTATGCTACTTTCTCTAGGAGCTGGAAAACTGCGTGCTGTGTTCTGTTCGTAGCTGGCGATCCACCGCCCATGGCCGACACCTTTCAAATTGAAATCGAAATATGTGTCATAGGTGAGAACTGGTGAATGTATGATACCAATATTGACTAAACTAATTGGTCTTTCTTCACAGGTACTTTTTGCTCTCAGGGCTGCATATTGCCAGTTTGAACTTTGCAAGTGACATCTTGGTTGCAATGGATACCTTCATTGGATGTCTGCTCTGCATTTATCTACTGAGCCTCACCCAGAGGAGCCTTGGAGCTGCATTTAAGGACTACTATAAAGTTATGGGCCTGGACAGAGAGGCTACAAAGAGAGAAATCAAAGAAAGGTTCAAGAAGCTGGCCGTTCTGTACCACCCAGACAAGAACCACTCTCCAGAGGCAGAGGCGCGCTTCTACGAGGTTCAGCAAGCCTTCGAGGTTCTCTCGGATCCAATCCAGAGGGGCATGTTTGATATCAACCTCGGGCTGGCGGAGCGCTACCCAGAGATGGTGGAACGCCACAACGCGCGCGGCGGCCACCGCCGACGGATGCCCGTCTTCAACAACCTCCGCGCCGTGCACGAGGCGGTGCCTGACGCGCAGCCCTCCTTCGACAGCGGGAACGTCGTCACCGGGTTCTACGTCGGCATGGACCAGGTGTCTGGCTTCCAGCCGCCGCCGGACCGGATACTGCGTCCTCGGGGCAGCCTGCGCCTCCCCGAGAGCGGCTGGGACACCGAGGACGGCTCCATCACCTGCAGCACCTTCAAGGAGGAGGGCGTGGACGGCCGGGCTCACCTGCACACGCAGTGTAGTTAGTACGGCTGTGCTGTCGATCGGAGATCGTCTCCGCGCTCCGCGGTGCTGTGCCACTCGTGTTGTTCAGCCGGCTGTGAATGCCCAGAACTTGTGGATGCTTTCAGGGACTGTGGGTGTGGGAAGGGCTGTTGCGGTCTGAACCGGTGGATTCTTTCAGGGAGGCGGGAGGTGGACTCTTGCGGGGAATGTGGGAACTCTGCTGGGCGCACAGCCGCGGGTCAGACAAGTGTACAAATGTCCTCTCATGACGGGTCAGAGCTCTATGTATAGCTATAGGTAGGTTATAGCTGTGTGGTAGCCGTGAGCCCGCTCTAACTGCTACGGTTTTTGTAACTGTGGTCCGCGCCGACTGACGCACCGAGCTTTGACATACTCTTATCGGACATTATTAAAGACAACCTGCTACCGAGTAGTTCCTTGTAGAATGTTTATTAGCTATTTGTTTAGCAACACACTAGACCCGAAGCTGCAAGAAGGCGGTCTGTTGCCTGTAACCTGCGTGGTAGCCGTTCCCTATCCCGTTTCTGACTTCAGTGAGCGATTTAGAGACGTTTTGAACTAAGCTGCCAGCTGCCGGGGGTATGTTGTTTTCAGCGGATATTGTATAGTCTTTCTCCCGCGCGCTGCGCTCCTGTGCCATGTGAAGCGTGCTGTCGAATACCTCTGATGCCGGCCAGAGTTTTACTTAATGACGGCGGCCAGTCTTTCGTAAAATATATTCGGTTTGTTCTACTGTACTTTTTGTCTGGAGGCTATTTTATGACTGGAACGAACGAACGGTACGAAACGAACGATTAGATGACCGATTCCCCATTCATCAACCTTTATCAACTTAGCGCACTCCGGCGACCTTGTATTGCACATATCCGAACGCAAAACCCGTACAGTGACAACTGACAACACCTACGCATATTCTCGGCGGTCCCTGCAGCCGCCGTTGACCGCACCGACAGACAACCCTTCCCCGAGCGGTGGTGTGTCAGACAACACAACATTTGACCGTCTCTTCACTGTGACCGGGGCTTGACCTTACGAGCCAAGTCTCAGGATTCCATTTCGTTGTCAGTGATGTTAATAATTAAGGCTATTGAATAACTATCGAATGTGCTGAGTATCCATGACAGGTTGGATGATGATGTAAATAATAAACCAAATTATTACAAATGCATTCAAATATATTCAAAAAGACACACAAAGCTTTCGGTTCATAGAACCTTGATCACTGTGCAAATGAGTATAACAATCGCTGTAACCGTCTAAAAATTCTTTGAAATTAATCAGCCGCGTGTTTTCTTCTTCTGCTGGTCTACCACCGATTTTGCTGCCATTGACGACCATGTGATAAATCCGCTCCTACTGTTAAACGTATCACGTGTGATGATGTGGGCTGCTTCCAGGACCTTCCTTGTACCTTTCTTTATATTGTTTTCTAATATCTTCGTACCGTCCCAGTCAGGTAAGTGGTTATACTTTTCTATATGCAGTACTATTGCATTTGATGTTCGGTGAAATTTTACATCGCTTCTGTGTTCCTTCAAACGAACTTCCAACCCTCTTCCCGTCTCCCCAACGTACGTTCTTTGGCACCCTTTGCATGGTATTTCGTAAACTACACTTTTTTCATCACTGGTATCTTTTTTGGTTTCATGGTGCTTGACTAAATCTAGAGTTTTCTTTCCTGTTACTGTAGCTACTTTGATATCTGACTTTTCAAGTGCTCTTACTATGATATCAATATTTTTCGAATTTGGGACCGAAATCCATCTCTTTCTTTTGTTGGCTTTTCTTCTCGTGTCATCTTCGTGTGCTTTGTTCGCACGTTGTTCGTCTCTTCTGTTGGCATCGTCGCCGTTTGCTTGGTTCGCGCGTCGTTCGTGTCTTCTGTCGGTCTCATCTCCGTGTGCTTGGTTCGTACGTTGTTCGAGTCTTCTGTTGGTGTCATCGTTTTGCGCTTGGTTCGTTTCTTGTTCGTATCTTCTGTTTTGTTCGTTTCTTCGATTTTTGATTTTTTCGGCTTTTTCTTTTTGTTTGATTAAAAATCCTCTGGGATATTTCAGTTTTTCGAACGAAGTATAAATATGATTGAACTCTTCCTGAATGAATTCATCGCTGCAGATTCTTAGCGCTCTGAGAAAGAAACCGATAACTATTCCGCTTTTCGTCCTTTGACTGTGTGCTGAGTAAAAGTGCACATAATCCTCTTTGTTTGTCGGTTTTCTGTGGACTTTGAATTTGAAGCCTGAGGCTGATTTTACGATGCATGTATCTAAAAACGCCATCTTTTCTTCTTGTTCTTCTTCAACTGTAAATTGTATGTTTGGATGAACAGCATTCAGTTTGTTCAGCGTTTCAGAAATGTCAGTTTCTTTCGGAATGATTGCTAGTACGTCGTCTACGTATCTAAGCCAAGTAGAGTCGTCACCAATAATTTTGAGAAAATGCTCTTCTTCGAGTGTCTTTTTATGGAAGTACTCGAAGAAGAGCATTTTCTCAAAATTATTGGTGACGACTCTACTTGGCTTAGATACGTAGACGACGTACTAGCAATCATTCCGAAAGAAACTGACATTTCTGAAACGCTGAACAAACTGAATGCTGTTCATCCAAACATACAATTTACAGTTGAAGAAGAACAAGAAGAAAAGATGGCGTTTTTAGATACATGCATCGTAAAATCAGCCTCAGGCTTCAAATTCAAAGTCCACAGAAAACCGACAAACAAAGAGGATTATGTGCACTTTTACTCAGCACACAGTCAAAGGACGAAAAGCGGAATAGTTATCGGTTTCTTTCTCAGAGCGCTAAGAATCTGCAGCGATGAATTCATTCAGGAAGAGTTCAATCATATTTATACTTCGTTCGAAAAACTGAAATATCCCAGAGGATTTTTAATCAAACAAAAAGAAAAAGCCGAAAAAATCAAAAATCGAAGAAACGAACAAAACAGAAGATACGAACAAGAAACGAACCAAGCGCAAAACGATGACACCAACAGAAGACTCGAACAACGTACGAACCAAGCACACGGAGATGAGACCGACAGAAGACACGAACGACGCGCGAACCAAGCAAACGGCGACGATGCCAACAGAAGAGACGAACAACGTGCGAACAAAGCACACGAAGATGACACGAGAAGAAAAGCCAACAAAAGAAAGAGATGGATTTCGGTCCCAAATTCGAAAAATATTGATATCATAGTAAGAGCACTTGAAAAGTCAGATATCAAAGTAGCTACAGTAACAGGAAAGAAAACTCTAGATTTAGTCAAGCACCATGAAACCAAAAAAGATACCAGTGATGAAAAAAGTGTAGTTTACGAAATACCATGCAAAGGGTGCCAAAGAACGTACGTTGGGGAGACGGGAAGAGGGTTGGAAGTTCGTTTGAAGGAACACAGAAGCGATGTAAAATTTCACCGAACATCAAATGCAATAGTACTGCATATAGAAAAGTATAACCACTTACCTGACTGGGACGGTACGAAGATATTAGAAAACAATATAAAGAAAGGTACAAGGAAGGTCCTGGAAGCAGCCCACATCATCACACGTGATACGTTTAACAGTAGGAGCGGATTTATCACATGGTCGTCAATGGCAGCAAAATCGGTGGTAGACCAGCAGAAGAAGAAAACACGCGGCTGATTAATTTCAAAGAATTTTTAGACGGTTACAGCGATTGTTATACTCATTTGCACAGTGATCAAGGTTCTATGAACCGAAAGCTTTGTGTGTCTTTTTGAATATATTTGAATGCATTTGTAATAATTTGGTTTATTATTTACATCATTATCGAATGTGCGCTTATTGGTCAGCCCGTGCCACGAGTGAACACAACAGCTCAGATCAGCGCAGAACAAGAGACGTTAGCGGACCGCCGCGGGCGGAATGGCGCTCGTTTGTACAGAGGTATCACTTTGTGCATGCGTGCAAACACCAACAGACTAGAGCTAACTGCACCAACTAGTTCTACATGTCACCAAGTTGTAGAAACCATTGGACGGTAATATCACTGTAGGTTTCTGTTTTCGTATGAACGGCGAGCGCTAGCAATTTACACGATCACAAAACTATAAAGTCCACAAGTATCGCCCGCTCACGATATGCGATATATGCGTGATATGCGAAGTTTACACACTCAACTTCAGTAATCATAGCTTATTGACAATAAGCGGTAGCCAACAATTTCTCAACAATTTTAATCTGTAGCGCTTATTGTAAAAATATCACGAACAGCAAGCCCTTTTTACATAACGACTAGCCGAGCGCTATCGAAATTTCCGTGAACAGACATTTAGTAGCTGTGCTGACGAACATCAACCGACGTGTACAGAGTTATGACGTCATCAGGCGTGACGTGTACCAACTGCGAACGTCATGACGTCATTGTATCATGTGGACGGTGCACTAATTGATGTGTAATTCGGGCTCCCCTCACACGGCTTTAGCCCTGACAACATTTGAGATCAAACGGGCGTGTTTTGTTACGAACATCAACAAGTGCACGACTAGCGACTGGCCGGTCTCGGATCAATACTTGTTCCCAGCAGTACCATAGGCGCATTAGTGCTCAACAGCGTCACCATATTACCTGCGAGTGAATCATACAGAAACAATGTGAGAAGCGTCGCGTGTGAAGTCACAAAGTGTGCACGTGGAAAAACCCGTGCGTCGCAGTGGCTGCATCAATCCTTCCCCGCTGCTCTTTACCTGTATCATGCCATCACAATAGTGGAGATCTTACATAATCACAACTAGTGGTCATTACAAGTTCTGAGTATGACACGTCACCTAAAGTCACGGACGGTATCACGAAGGACGCCTGAGTGAGCTGAACAACACATAGAGGTGCCCTGGTGCTATCACACGCGACTGATGTGGTCATATAACACGTGGCACTGACTGTCTTCGTGCGTGACTTCTTCAATCACCACGCGTACCAATGACGGCCATTATATATGTTTGCTGTGGATATCACACGTAGCTATTACACGTAGCAGTGACAGGTATCTCACGTGGGTTCTTCAGTCATTATAAGTGGCTACGTGATCCCCCGGTGGTCCTCACTCGCTGCTATGAATATACAACACGTGGCTGCTGCGTTGAAATCACACGTGGCCCTGACGGTCATCACATCACTCGTGGCTTCGACGGTCATCATACGTGGCACTCACTGGTGGCTGCTGCGTATAACACGTGGCTGCTGACTGTCATCACACGTGATATCACCCGTGGCACTCACTGGTTCTCACACGTGGCTGCTGCGCACGGGCGGCCCGGAGAAGACGGGGTAGCCGAGCGGCGGGTCGGCCGCCTGAACAGTCAGGTTACGGAGAATCATCGGGTGCGCCTGTCGGGACAGAGAGAGACCCTTGTCATACAAAGGGCAGTACGGAATGAAAGTCTGGATGCATGCTGCACACGGCAGACTTCATTTCGGAGTTCGGAGGTGCAAACATGAGCAAATGGAGAATTGGTCTATGGCGACTCAGGAACGTCATCAAGCATGGCTGAATCATCTTGCCAACCAAGTTATTAGCAACCAATGTCACCAACTAATGAGACGCACGACCGAAACAGGCGACTGGTCATAGGCATCTCACACAGCAGCTGTCTGTGGTAACCTTGGTATCGTCTATTTACCCTGTATCCTTGCTGTCTTAGAAGCACTTTATCTCGCCCGTACCCGTCTGCACAAGCCTGTACCCATCTATAATACCCGTCTGTAATAATTGAATGAAGACTTTACTCCACAAGAAATCGTTCGGGTCGGAGCTTTCGAATTGTATTACAAAGCTTCGTCAGCGTAGGTATCGTAATCGGGTTCGGGGGTATCGGATTCTTGTGGATTTCTTGTGGAATAAAGACTCCTCATTCAATTATTACATTAGCAAACTCCACATCATGTCCTTTAGTGAATACCCGTCTGTGCTAGTCAGCAAGTGTCAGTAACCGGTTCGTACCTGAATGCTGTACCGCTCTTCATCGTCATTGGTGACGTAGAGCAGCTCCAGCGCCAGACTGGCCCAGACTCCTCGGACCAGCTCGGCGCTCAGACTGCCCACCGAGACAGTCTGGTCGCCCAGACTCAGCAGGTGCGACGTGTACGTGTTCTGGGGAGATGGAGAAGGGAGGGGTTATCGAAAATCCCGCAACGCATACACGAAGCCCGCCGTTTGCTATTATATGGCCGAGAGTGAGGCATTTGCATTTAGAACATGCATGGCGCCGTAATCACGCATCATTTACGACAGAATATCCGAATAGACTTCGCTTGGTTGAACAATGCGAGGAAAAGAGGCAAAGTAGATACGAAGTCGCATCATCTGCACCTCTACCCCGCATATGAAGCTGAAGTCTCACTCCAGGCAGAATATATTACCTTACCCGTGATACTCGAATCATCATCACATGCATACACTTTCAACCAACTGGCGTCTAACCATCACACCCCTGATGTTCTGAACTGTCAACCTACCCCAGCTCTGAAACTCTGACCTCTCACCATGCAAACACTGCCAGTGACTCTCACCCCCTCCTCTCCCTCTCACCCTGGAGTCGTCATATCCGAGTGAGAACAGTGACGGTTTGTGCTGGAGGACCGCCTGCCGCCAGCCGGGGTCCGAGTCCAGTCCGATGTACCAGTCGGTGCTGTACTCCTCCAGCGTGTCCAGGAGCTCGTCGTCCGAGTCGAACCCGCCCAGCAGGATCGAGTCCAACGCCAACTTCACAGACCACCTGGGCGGGATAGGCGGCAACGTAAAGAGGTCTAGAGTGGGTTAGAGGAACGCATGTGTGGACTAACGTTATGGTAAAGACAAAATCTGTTGAAAATGCACGAAAGAAAAGAGAAATAGCTTGATAACGTGCGGTCATGAGATTCGCCTAGTGCAGGTAGATATGTAATTTAACTATATGTAAGAATCTTGGATTTGACGGTAGGCAGGAATCGCGTCAGTTCCAACTCAATTTTGAATCTGTACAACTTTTGGAAACACTTCAGCTGCAAATGTCGGTAGACTAAGACTAAACCTGGAGGTGTATAGTAGTGTTATGTGTCATTCAATATGTAACGCTGCTGACGAGTGATTGACGCTCATGCTCTAGAAATACTGACCTGTAGGCTCTCCGTGCCAGTGCGGCGACCACCGGCGCCCCTCGCAGCCAGGTACCGGCGGGTGTGTCTGGAGCGCCGCCCTCTTTGTACAGGGACAGCACTCGGGCCGGAGACGAGCCCACCTGGAGCTGGGGAGGGGGAGAGGGTGAGCTGTGGTGGTGATACCAGGTCAGAGAGGCATATCAAGGTCGAGTGTAACAGACGAAATTGGAAAGTTAACTGACAGCTGATGTATGACATTTACAGTGGACTGTGATCTACCAGCTGTCTGAAAGGTCTGTGACAGCTGACACTCAACTGCCCAGCAAATCAGGAAATGTTCATCATAAGTGCCAAGGCGCGGCCAATTTCGTGAGCAGTGCATTTTGGCAAATCCCAAATACACCAAAGACAAATAAAACAAAATTAAACCTCGGGAGGGGCCACTGACCCCTAGAACTAATCCTAATCCGCAGAATCATGGGAATGATCGATACCAGAAATGAAATGAAATGTAGTGAAACACGACCCCCCCCCCAGATTCCACTGACCTGTCTGGCGGTGCTGTGGTACGCCGAGTCCACCAGCTGACACACCACTCTGTGATTCTCCATCACTCTCTCCACGGCCGCGTCCCCTCCCAGACTCTCCACCGGGTCAGTCGCCGCCGCGCCCACCACCGTCTCTGTCAGCGACTGCCCCTTGGCCGCCATCTGTGCCTCCTTCTCGAGTAGCGAGGTGACAGTGTGCACCCAGAACTGACGAGGGAATGGGGAGGCCAGCTCGGTGTTGAGCGGAGGTGCTGCTAAGGTCCAGACGGCTGGAGGAGTCATACGGCGCGCCGCGGCGGTCGGTGGCGGCGGCACGGATGGTGCAGAGGGTATCAGAGGCTGCCAGGCGGCGCGGGAGGGTCGCCGGGACGAGCTGACGCGGCCGACAGAGGCGGTCACAGAGCCGTGGGTCGAGCCGGGCGGAGTGTCCCGCTCGGAGCCGGGCGCCGGGGCTACCCGTGAGCCGCTGCGCAGGCGGCTGGGGCGCCGGCTGGGGGTGGTGGTCACCGACCCGGCGCCGGAGGGGGCGCGCCGCGGCGGGGACGGGCGCGAGGAGGTCGGTATCGGCGGCAGCTGTGTGGAGCGGCGGGGGGAGGCGGGAGCACCCGTCCCAGACGGAGAGCCGGCCGGCGGGCCGACCATGATAGTCGTGCTCGACACGAGCGGAGGCGGCGGCGGAGCGGTACCCTCTCCGTCCGACCCCGGCGAGCCGTCATCGGCGTCCAGCACCTGTCTGAGCCAGGGCGCCGCTCCCAGCGCCACCCCGGCCGGCTTCTGCGGCTCGAACAGCAGCAGAGAGCCCTGCGAGCCGTCCGACCACTCCGCCACCTCACCGAGCAGAGCCGGCGGCGCCGGGGAGCTGAGCGCCGTCTTATAGCGTTCCATGCTGTCCGCGCGGGCCGCGCTCTTACCACCGGCAGTGTCACTACTCTGCACCGCCTTGGCGAGCAGCTTCTGCTCCTCCGCTACCGCGTCAGTGGTGAGGAGGTGCTGCACCAGCGTCCAGGCCAGCACCTTGGGGAACAGCTCCTCCACAGCCGCCAGAGTGGCAGAGTTGTCGATCACTCCCGTCAGCTGACTGCGAGCGTCCGAGTACCCCGGCACGTGCAGCTGGGTGAGAGGTGTGAGCGCATGGAACCAGAACGGCGCCAGAGGACCGACCGACTCCGCGGAGCGCTCCTCGTCGAAGGCGCAGTCGAAGATGGCGTCCACGCGCGTGGCTTCGGCGGCGTGACAGGAGGTCTCCTGGAGCTCCAGACCCTGACGACGGGAGGGGAAGCATAGCTGAGTTACTAAGTGAGCTGGGAATGGGTCGAATCATATAGCGGCCCAGGTTAACGCAAGTGCTGACACGAAAGCAACTGTAAACTAGCCTTCAGTACCATCCCAACATAACTAGTTACGGATGCTTTTGTTCATTCCACAAGCTTGGCAGTAAAACTCCTGAACTGTACATTGACTGTTAAATAGAAGGCATTAGCAGTTTTCGATCCTCAGAGCCGTTAAATCCAGCGACATGGGCTATGGGTAATAAGTTCGGATAAATCAGAAACAGCTATATCATGACAAAATTCACGACCTTGATGCAGAAGTAGATGTATGCGTTTCCCATTTCGGCGATATAGACCCACATGAGTCGGTCTTCAAACCGGAGCAGCAGATAGTCCCCGGGCTGGACGAACCCTGAAAGCCGCACCACATCGATCATTAATGTCTGTCGAAACATCTACATTCTTCATCGGCGCAGAGCGGTGGCAGGCTATAATCATAGCATAACAGACACTCGACAATCATGGCAATCTTCAGTCAACAATCGTCTCACCAAATAATTATAAAGCCAACGGAACTATTAAATATCCGCGTTGACCAAAAGAAGGCACAGCTGTTGGCTAGTCCGTATAGAGATACATTTCCCATGCGATTTACTGTGAGATCCATGCACAAACCAGCCCCACCCTTTTCTCTCACCGGCGCATCCGTCCCAGACGGCCCTCCCCAGCACGTCTGCGGTCGGAGCCGACATCTGCTGGTAGTATACGGCGTCTGGTCCGGCGGTCTGGGGCGCCGCCGGTACCCGGCCCGCCGGCCGACGCGGGAAGGTGGCCACGAACAGCGGCAGCGTGCAGACGGGGAGGAGGGGGGCGGAGAACAGACAGGAGAGCGCCAGCAGGCCGGCCGTGATGGGCAGTAGAGCCGTGTTCAGCGCTGGAACGGAGAGAAAACGGAGATCGGTTAGGAACACAGTGCGGAGGCGGGAGGTTACTGCACCGGTAAACTAGATCGAAACAGCGCAGGTTGTCGGAGAACAGTCAAGAGCGCCATGGAAGAATAAAAATATGGCAATATTGACGGATACAAGGCATAAGTATACGATACAGGACATAGTTACGCGAGGCAAGCTGATGTCCTCCGTTTGCAGATGATCAACCAGCCGAAGAATGCCATCCCAGCAAAACCGACTTCCACCCTCTGCACCTATCCCCTTTCCTCCTCCATCCATCATCTCACCGAACAGCACGTGAGCGCGTCTCCTCTCCTTCACGCTCAGCCACGACGAGAGCAGCACGGCCGCCATGTACAGCTTCCCGCGCAGCTGAGTCAGCCGGTCCCTCAGGGCGCTGGCGGCCGTTAGTACGAACTCCGGCCGCCAGGTGGCAGCAGTGGGCCACAGCAGACGGAGCAGAAACACCACGGCGGTCTCCGGCAGGGCGGCCTCCGTGTTCTGCCACACCTGTGTCAAGGGGAGGGGGAGTGAGCAGGAACACCAGACCCCAGGGCGGTCTACGGCAGGACCGATATTTAGTCGAGGCAGCAAAAGAAATGTGACTAGCAGTTAGCACACATGACTTGCAAGTTGCAATCGCGCATTATGACATACAACAATAAAACATCACCAACGATCGACCAACGACCTCCTTTCCCTCAGCTCTAGTTCAGACCGTTCTACATCACAATCACACGCCTCCCACACCTTTCAGAGGTCCCGCCATACCCAGACCACTCGAAATCTCCACCTACCCATCGGTAGCAGCGTGCCAGACACATGGCGGACAGAATGTCCTCCGGTGAGCCCCGGGATGGGCGGTCCGCCGCCACCTCCTCGATCTCCCACGTGATGAAAAGAGTCAGCAGCAGGGGCGCTCCTAGGGACGGGGAGAGGGCGGTCAATAACACTGTGTTAGTCAGCAAAATTTGGTTATATTAAAGAAATAAAACGTCCGTTATTATTGACATGACATTGCAGAGCATTCGAGCGATTCGTTTTCGAGTGAGGACATCTCTCACGGCCATGGATTCATCCCCAATGTCCACCCTTCTTTGTTTATTAGGTTTAAAGCGGGTATTGAGGACTGCGATGCTCAGTTCGTGGCTTTTCATATCCGCCCTATGGGTCACGTTATCGTGAGTTCCACCAACCGCGCTCGCCACGGATCCTGTCTCACCGAGTGTATGCAGCCGCAGTCCGGCGGCGCGCACCCCGCCTTTGACCCCCCGGCCGGCGGCCGGACGGTACAGGCAGTTCCGCAGCAGACCGGCGCAGTAGACCCGCTGCAGTTCCACAAACACCGCTCGGCCAGCGGCCAGCGCCAGCAGCGCGGCGCCCAGCGACGGCAGCGCCCCTGGCGGCGGACGGCGGAGGCTACCCGCGGCGGCCACCGCACCGCCTGCCGCGCAGCAGACGGCGGGGTAGAGCAGGGAGCGCCACCAGCCACCGGGGAGAGAGGGTGGGAGCCGGCGGCAGAGGCCGACCGCAGCACACCACAGCCACTGCAGGAGACCGACTGTCGGAACACGAGGGGACGAGGCGGGGTTAGAGTGACAGGCTGGGACGGGAGGGAGGCGCATCAACGCCTGTTGCAGTCCTTGTTAAAACATTAAGCTGCTGTGTTAGCTCCTGCTTAGCGTCCTTCGTCACAATATTACCCCATGTTACAGATGTCTCGCTAAGTAACTAAAAATTACCTAGCATCGGCCATTATAAAAAGCACGGTGACGATATAAAAAGATTGATCAATGCGTCCCTTGACGTCACAACATGGCTTCAATATTGATCGAGAATGAATGACTCTCGAGACGCCGGTACAAATAAATATTCCATAACACATCGCAAACGCACTCGGGTAGAACCCGCTACTAATTCGTACAGACAACTATGACGGGGAGGGGAGGTAATACAGCTGTAACTAAGAGTCCCCTAGTTACAGAGAGGAGTTCCCTAGTCCCCCTGTAACTAAGAGTCTCCGCAAATGAGTGCCAAACGGAGCTCTGATGGAGACTGATTGACAGTGACGTCCATTGGCTATATGCAACGAACTGAGCACTGACCGACGTCTGCGCTGAGCAGGCAGCCTCCCACTGCGGCGGGTATCAGCCGGTCGGCGGCGGGGAGGCAGCAGAGAGGGACGGCCAGGGCGGCGGCCAGCAGCAGCTGCAGCGCCAACCGGGACGGCGTCACACAGGGAGAGCCGCCGCACAGCAGAATCTGAGGGACGGGGGACGGGGTTAGAGATGACAGAATTTGAGGTACGACAACACTGAAAATCTGAGACAGGACGGTCAAATACATAAAGTTCCAACGACGTTCAAGACAGCTGTACAAAGTGCAGCTCTCAAGCACACCCCGAAAAACGGAAAGGTTCTCCTGGCATAGTGTGATGTTAGTTTATTTACACCCAAGCTTGTATCAGGTCTCCATTAGCACATCAGTCGTGTAGGGACATCACATCGACCCCAACTCACCAGTGTCTGTTCTGAGAGCCACCCGAAGGCCACATCCATCGGCGGGATGACCCCGAACAGCCAGAGCAGCGGCAGCGCGCACATCGTCAGACGAGCCACCACGTCACAGGTGATCAGCCAGTCGGGAGTAGGAGAGGGCCACCTGCAGGGAGGTCAGAGCTCAGCAAACAAGGACTTCGTTACAGTTATCAGTTAAATTTATGTTGGATGTGCGACTGCTTACAGGTCCCAAAAACGGCATGCTTCTGTATTGCAAAGGAGTCGCGAGAATCGAACATTTCCGTACGTATTTCAAGGCACATCAGAGCCACAAAGGATGCTGGCGATGATACCGACACATGAAAAACTGCTTCACCATCTGTCAAATCATCATACAAGACAATTGTATCGTGCCTTGTTTGTCACCATGCCCCACTCCCTTCTGCTCTGCTCACTCACCCGTGTTGGATGAGCAGCAGCGGCGCGGACAGCAGCAGCAGGTGGAGCGGCCGGTTCAGAGCGGCCACCTCCCAGTCATCCAGAGCCCGCAGCGTGGCCGGTTCGGGGGGCCGCGCCACTGTCACCGAGTACAGACCCGTGCAGACGCTGAGCCAGCCCAGCACCGGGAAAAGCACCACCAGAGCGGCACCGTGGCGGGACACCGCCGGGAGGGTGTCTGGGGAGAGGGCCACGGCGGCGGCTGCAGCGGCCAGACCCGCAGCCAGTGGGTGTAGCGCCAGACTCACCATCCGCCGTTTGGCCGGTATGATGAACGCCCAGGTGGCCGAGTGGCAGACCCCTTCAAACACCACCTCATCGTCCTGCGCGAGGATGTTGGTCTTGACGTCCCTCTGCGCAGCCGAGTGGCGCTCCGTCACCACGCCCACAATCTGCAGGGTCAGGGACAGCAGCGCGGCGCCCGCGCCGACCAGCGGAGCGGCCAGCCGGGCGCGCAGCAGCAGCGTCAGCGGCACGCCCAGCAGCGCCGGCGCCAGCAGCAGCAGCAGCTGCAGCAGCGGCACGTAGAGCGGCGCGGCGAACGGCAGCCGCAGCCGCGCGCCGCCGGCCGCCGTCTGCGCCACACGACGCCACAGGTACTCCCGCTTGTAGTCGTTGATGACGTTCAGGTTTGGGGCGTCCATCGTGAGGATCAGGTGGCAGTGTGGGGCATCCAGGGACTCCCAAACAGACGAAAAACTTGTGGTCTTGGCTGATGCTTCATTTTCACTTCAGATGGCCATCAGACTTAACCCAGATAGCAAACATGACAGTAAACTTGTCTCTGGGCTGGCATCTTTGGGTAGACAAATCATTTACTTCAAATAACTCATGCATTCAACTTCCAAAGCTTGAGTAGTATGGAATGGACCCATTTAGGTCAGATTCAACTGGTCCATAGAAGCAAGTTCAAGCTTCAGACAATACCAATTTGCATGACATGGATTCATCTTCACAATCTTACAAGTCAGCCTGCAAAAAAGGTATAAAATAAGACAGATAAATTGGTGACTGCGTGTGCCAGGTTATAGCTTAGTGGGGAAGATAATCCAACTTCTAAGCATGTCAGTGATGAGGTCCTTGTTGTAGACACCCCTATGCTCAACACTTACTCCAGAAGTCCTGACAGACTACCAGAGCTCCTCTAGGTCAGTACCTACTCCATGGTGTGCTATAAATCAACTTAGAGTGGGAATCTAGTGGGCAATAAGCAGATTACGTTCAAAACATGAATTAATCATGCTCTGTACACCAGCTTTTCTGAAGATGCAGAACAAAACCACCCTTGTGGCTCACTAGTTCTGAAGGGTATAGCAATCTTAAGTCAATCCCATGCTGCAACAAGTGCAATCTCCAGAATGCTATTGATGCTGTGATTAATTGGTTATGCTCTAATGTGATGCTGAGCCAGCATTTGCTCCACACAGAAACATTTGTGGAGTTGCTGATTTTTTTCCTTGGCAAGTTTTCACTTTCCAGGTTTTTTCCCCTGGAAAGCCAAAAGTGAAGTAGCAGTGCCAGGGTGTCGTGTAGGTACCTACTCTCATAGCTCAGACATCTAAAAAAATACTTCAGCTTGGGCAGTTGGGCCAGTGATCAACATAAATATTGAGTAGTTGAAAATGCACTGAAATCATCATGAGCCTGTGACTTGCATGAATACTTACCTATATAATGCTTGTTTGGCACAAGGAGACCAACACGCTTTTAAAAGGAAATACATGTGTAAAGTGCATAACAAAATTACAGCATTATCCGATAAATCAAGCAGATGAAAACAACTTACCTCAATTTACAGCACCTTAACGTTGTTTGTTGGTTGTTTGCAATGTTGTTTGTTTCTTATAGGTATCTTGGTTTGTTTATTGTTTGTTTGCTTATTTGTCAAAGTAAGCATATTTGGCGCAGATAATACAAGCAGAGAAATTCCAAGCTTAAGCTTCATTCTGTTCACTAACAGGTTTTGTGTGTTCGCAAACCAAAATCAATGAACAATTTTTCCTCGTTGCTAGGCAACAACTTCCGAAAGCTCTATGAATGTTACAAGTCGAACAGGACAAAAATATCTCCCCTCATTTGTAAGAAAATATATTTGGTGTTATTTTTTGGTAAAATTTGCCAGCAAAAATACATATCAAAATGGGTCTAAGCATCCAAAAACTTTTAAATCAGGGAAAATTTGAAATATTACAAAAGAAGCACTTTTCAATAAACAAGTACAGCGATTCAAAAGTAGTATACTTAAAATTTTGCACAGTAATACAGGCCAGCGGCTGTATTCCCGCCAAATTTACGCTAACCTTGCTCTCCCCACGCGTTACATACTTGTTTGTGATTTATGCTGGGCTGATAGGGTCTATTGTTTCTTCGCTTCGTGTTGGGTGTTTTTGTTAAGTGTTTACTTTGGAACCGATATCATATTTGGCGTATTTTCCTCTTAACGATGTCTGGTTTCGATGATGCTGGTGTTTTCTTCTCCGACAATTTTGGTGCCGAAGACCACGATGAAAATCAGGCTAATTTGCAAGCTGTGAAGAAAAAGTTCAAAGATTTCCTACGTGAATTTCATGAGGGCAATTTCAGTTATAAATACAGGTATGTCGGTGATGGCCATTCTGATCCAATAATTTTTTCCTAGGTGTTTTACTTCTGACACAATTCTGTGAATTTTTTACACCGACTTGTGAAATGAGATTGTACGCGCCTATCTCACAGAACATGCCTTTCTATTGTTTCAGAGACAATCTGAAGAGGAACTACAATCTTCAAAAATATTACCTGGAGGTGCTCTTGGAGGATGTGGCCAGTTATGATGAAGCTCTTATGGATTGTCTCTACAAGAAGCCTTCTGAACATCTTCCTTTGGTAGGCACTAGCTAGGCACTGAGTGTTGGTCTCATCAGCCATGATATAGTAGCATTGATGCTTTATTGTATGCTTGTTTTGTCTTTCTCCCATGACTTAAGTGATTTTTGACCTTTTGTTCTATGCATTTCAGTTTGAAGAGGCAGCCCGAGAAGTGGCTGATGAAATCACCCGTCCGCGACCTGAGGGCGAGACAGAGGTGGAAGACATCCAGGTCTGCCTCATCTCCAATGCCAATCCTTCCAACATCCGAGACTTGAAGGTGAGAATTTCTGGAGTAAATGCCAACTCCCACAGTTAGGATGCAAATATGATCTCAGGATGCCAACAACAGTCGGGGAAACTATGGTAATTTCCTATGTGAAAACTACTTACATTTCCCATACCCCCTCTGCCCTCCAGTCAGAAGCAGTCAGCCACCTGGTGAAGGTACCCGGTATTATCGTGGCGGCGTCCGGTGTGCGTGCCAAGGCCACGCGGCTCTCGGTGCAGTGCCGCTCGTGCCGTACTGTCATCCCCAACCTGGCTGTCCGGCCAGGCCTCGAGGGCTACCAGCTGCCCAGAAAGTGCAACACGTGAGTTTAGGGACCGGACGGGGCTAGAGGAGAACGGAACATGACGATTGGTGGGTTGATATGGACATTTAATAGTTTAACCAGAGGGTGCGGTACATGTGTTGACACGATAAATGGGATATGCTGTAAATGCGGTGCGGTCAGCGGTGTTCGGGTATTCATTGTTTCGTCATATCGGCGTCGTAGTATTCGTTTTACCGATATCGGACGGACTCGCGGCCGAATTTTCATCACTGCCGTACGTCGAACGTTTTCAAATTTCACCGACATTTTATCGGAATATTATCTGATCTAGCTACGTGTTTGCAATACATGCCTTTCGTTTCCTTCGTCTGCCTGCTCTCACGTTTCTCTGTGTGTCCGTTGTCACAGGGAGCAGCCGGGCCGACCCAAGTGTCCGCTGGACCCGTACTTCATCATGCCGGACAAGTGTCGCTGCGTGGACTCCCAGGTGCTAAAGATGCAGGAGCTGCCCGAGAGCATCCCCCAGGGCGAGATGCCGCGGCACCTGCAGCTCTTCTGTGACAGGTCAGAGCGAGGTCATATGGTAGGTTGGAACACGGGTCACGGAGCAGATCTGGTCGAATGTTTGTCGGGATTGGTCCGGGGGACAGGATCAGACTTGTGCCGGGACCAAAAATCAAGATCCAGGATCCTCAAGGTCCCACCGCAAATTCAATTTTTAGAATCCAAGGTTTCCAAGGTCCAACGGCAAATTCAATTTCTAGAATCCAAGGTTTCCAAGGTCCCACGGCAAATTCAATTTCTAGAATCCAAGGTTTCCAAGGTCCCACGGCAAATTCAATTTCTAGAATCCAAGGTTTCCAAGGTCCCACGGCAAATTCAAATTCTAGAATCCAAGGTTTCCAAGGTCCCATAGCAAGTATACTTTGCAGGGTCCACAGTCCCCAAGGTCCCACGACAAGAATGCATTGCAGGATCAACAGTCCCCAAGGTCCCACGGCAAGAATGCATTGCAGGATCCACAGTCCCTAGGGTCCCACGACAAGTGTGAATTTCAGGATCCACAGTCCCCAAGGTCCCATGACAAGTACACACTTCAGAGTTCAGGGTCCACAGTCCTCAAGGTCCCACGGCAAGAATACATCTCAGGATCCAAAGTATTCAGGGTCCCACAACAAGAACTTAAACAAACTAACATTCTGATGAGCAGACTTACTTCTAAATATTCTGCCAATGGATGCCCAGCAACATTTAAAGGGGCAGAACCTATATGCAAACCTGTGGACTGTGGTGGTTTTATCATTAACCAACATAGGTAGGGGGAGCTTCAACACAAGTTAAAAATGAATCATAATATCAATCTCTCCTTTAACCTGACAAATTCGTAAAAAATATAGGTAGGTAAAAGGTACCTTGCAATTTGTATTGTCATGTCCCTTTCAATTCAATCTTACCTTATCAGTAGGAATGTAGGATAGCACCTTACAGTTATTGAAGACAGACATTCAAGTATTCTTTCAGGCAATATAAAAAAAAAAAACAGAAATAAAACCTACAGGCTTCATAGAAATGGAAAAGTTGAATTGATAGTTACATGCTTTCGATTTTCTGCACATTCAGTTACATAATACCTAGGATAAAAAGAAAATATGTTCTAAGTCTTGTTTGCGCGAGCGCTCACAGAAAAACTGATCGACTAAGCCAATAGAATTAGAGTATCAGCGAGCGCAAACCTTACTTACTGTTCATTCACATTAGATTGAAGGCTCTGAACAAAATTCCATCTGACAATTTTTTCGTCAGCCGGTTATTCGTCGGCAGATTTTCGTCTGACTTTTTCGTCTTGCATTTTTTTCGTCTGTTCGAATTAATTTGGTGCATTTTTCGTCTGAGTATTTTTCTGTCCGGCATTTTTTCGTCTGGACGAGGCGGAAAATGTCCTTATGAAAATAATGCGCGGACATAAAAATGCACAGACGAACAAATGCATAGACGAAAGTCTGCGGACGAAAATCTGCAGACGAAAAATTGTCCGACGAAAACCTGCTAAACGAAAAAGTTGAACTGTCATGGAATGATTGCTTATATTGCTCATTGCTCAATGGTGATTTGATGAATTGCAAAACAAATAAGTTTGACACTTACTTGGTCAGTGGGTAGCTTCCAAGTAGCTTCAAGCCCGGCATATCACAACCCAGAAAATATGTGAGGTGAGATTAGAAAAGAACTTTCCAAACCACCACTGTCCACTGTTTGACAGTTTCATAATCCATAACATTGATAATGTAAAAAGCTACCAGGTCTCTTGTTCCAGTTCTGCCTCACAACCATGGCAATGATTTTGCTCTATATATGTCTACACAGTCTGGTTCGTTTTCTCTTCGTGTAGCTATCTAGCCCCTTGCAGCTGGTCGCTCAACCATATATATTTATTGAAGTGCTTACAGACAAAACCTAGTGCAGGGTCCTTAGTGGCCCAAGTGCAACATAAACCTCATGATGGTCCAGCTTCCAGGATTCTTGAGGTCCCTCAACAAAATGGTGGTGTAGGTCCAGACCGTTCTCCTAAGATCCCATGACAAATAATAAAACTGGTACTGAAGGTCTGCATTCTGCAGGGTCTTGCAGCATACCAAAATTTTGAGGTCCTAACCCCTGGGTTTCCATGGTTTTACGGCATATGAAATGTTGAGGTCCTGGGTTTCTAAGGTCTCATGTCACATGAAATGTTGATGTCCTGGGATTCCAAGGTCTCACGGCATATGCAAATGTTGAGGTCCTGGGATTCCAAGGTCTCGCGACATATGCAAATGTTGAGGTCCTGGGATTCCAAGGTCTCGCGGCATATGGATGTTTTAAGGTCCTGGGATTCCAAGGTCTCGCGGCATATGGATGTTTTAAGGTCCTGGGTTTCCAAGGTCTCGCGACAAAAATGACAATGCAAGGTCCAGGATCCATCAAGGTCCCAGACCTTGGACTCTGCGAACCCTGGATCTCGGATCTTTTTGGGACCTTGGCACAAGTCTGGACAGGATTGTCTGAATGATCACGAGGCGAGTTTTTTTTTCAAAATTACCTGTCGATGTAGGTTATTCAAGATAACTGTTTTAGTTACGAGCACATGAGAGTGGTCAACGATGCCGTCGATTTGGTAGTGTTACATCGGCTACGGTTATGAGATAGATCGGTTAGATCACAGGGGCAGATCGGTAGAATAACTAAACTGGCTCAGACGGGTTGAGTTTTATTGGTCGATCGAAGTTAATTGCTTTAACGGAAGAATATCGATTTCACCTCATTACCTCAATTTGTGTAATCTACTATGTGTCAGAAACTAAGTCGCTAATTCGCCTAACTCCGCGCCACTCCTCGCCCAGGTACCTGTGCGAGCGTGCCGTCCCGGGAAACCGCGTCACCATCATCGGGCTCTACTCCATCAAA